GCTCATACTTTGAGTAAGGTTTTGAGCGTACGGCAGCGTTCTGCGACTAGGAGAGGTATCGATCAAGTTGAGTTGAGCGGGTAGTTTTGAGCTTTTAGTGGGCAGCCGCTGAAAACGCTGGCCTGCGCTAAGAAGGTTAAATTGATATCTATACTTTCCTAGTGGCTCAAAATGCTAACGCAAATTATGAACGCAGCCATTGAAATGCAGCTGTAACTCTGCATTTTTCATTTGCAAACGCTATTTGTTGCAGGCAATGGAAAAGACGGACATCGAAGAGAAGATGTCAATTCGATTCCTCAACTAACCCAAACGATTCTAGATAGTTAGTCTAAGTGCCCTTCATTCTACAATTACGGTTTACAGAATTATTTTGTGCAGACGACTGGCGACTATTGACAAGTTTCTACCAAAAGGATATAGTTTCTGAATGATGGCGTCATTCGTTTTATCCGAGTGGATGTATTTGCATAATGATGACATTATGTTGACATTTGAAATTGGCTCATTTGGTTATTTTTCTCTATGACAAAAGGTTAGATTTACTCCAAATGTGATGCACATATTGTTTCATACCGTTTACGTTGCGATGCATGCCTTCTGACTTTATACGATTGAGATGTTTGTATTTTTTTAAATTTTTTCTCATATATCTACAAATGAAAATGAAACAAGGACCTGTATAGGAGTTCGTGTGAATATTTCTGTTGACACAGATCTTTGAAAATTATTTTACTAAAAAATGGTGAATTAGTACGGAAAATCTCTTTTTGAACAAAAAAGGAACTGCTAAAGAATTGTAATTAAGTTCAAAGACTTTCTTCTTTAGGTCTCTCTGTTGGCGGGGCTATGAGCACCTTTCTTCCCTCCTTCTTTTTTATTAGCTTTTTTCTTTCTTCTCTCGCGATCCTTATTCATAGGCAGCAATGCATCTGCTCCTTTATCATGTGGTGTGACAGCGGCAGCAGCTGCAGCTTAAATGATTTCGTTGTCAATCTGGTGAAAATAGCAATGGAGTAATTCTGCTACTCAGATTGCTTAAAGCAGAATGGGTCTCTGTCGGGCAACATTCTGCACTGTTACGAGAGGTGTAATCAGCTTGGGCATCTCTGTCTTGCTATATTCATACTTTGCGTCAGCGTCTTGAGCGTATGCCCGCGTTCAGAGCGACTGAGAAAGTAAAGATGTAGGGTACGCCGCCATTTCAGCGAGTTGAGCGGCAAAATTCAGAGCTACCCGCGAAAACGCTCACAGTGCTCGCGTACGTTCGAAACGCTAGACCGATATCTATACCATGCTAGTCGCTGCATAACCAGATTGAAAGCCGTGAGCATATTGCAATGCTTTCCCTCGAAAATGTGTTATCCGTGCTTCACTATAATTAAGTTTTACGGCTAAAGTTGAGTTTGGTGCGGTTCGTTCCAGACACGGCAGCACTCATAAAACCCTATCTTATCGCTTATTTGTCTTGCTTTGAACACTCTTGAAACACTTGAAACAACGAGGGCGTTATATGGGAGGTCAACTAGCGGAGACTTTCTGGCGCTTCGACCTTCGCTACTTATCGACTTTTTGGCGTCTTATCGCAAAATCTGCCTTTAATGTTTTACACTGACCATAAGTAAGCGCGCTATCGCCAATACTCAGTGGAAAAAAAAGTTCGAAAGTTGGCGTTGAAGACCGCATAAGAAAGTGTTTTAATTGGCAGATGAAAGTGAGTTTCCTTAGGCAGCGTTCACACTTGTAGCGCTACAGCGTCGCGCTACAGCGTCGCGCTACTGCGTCGCGCTACAGCGTCGCGCTACAGCGTCGCGCTACAGCGTCGCGCTACAGCGTCGCGCTACAGCGTCGCGCTACAGCGTCGCGCTACAGCGTCGCGCTACAGCGTCGCGCTACAGCGTAGCGCGCTACAGCGTGCGCGCTTCAGCGTCGCCTGCTACGCAGCACATACGTGTGGACAGCGTCGCGCTACAGCTGTAGCGCTACAGTTGTACCGAACTCCAGCTTTTATGTTTTTTCTTTCTATATCATCCTCTTCTCTTTGTTTCTCATATTTATCTGATAGTGAGCTCCTGTTTTCTACTTTATCACATTTTGATGTAGTTTTTGATACAGAAGACTGTGATAATGGTTTTATTTATCATTTTTGACTTTAATTATTTGGTTTCACAGTTGCTTGATGTTTGATGGCTTTGCTTGATGTCTTGCAGTGCTGCCTCGTTTTGATCCCGATTGCGAAACTACATTAAAATGTGATAAAGTAGAAAACAGGAGCTCACTATTAGATAAATATGAGAAACAAAGAGAAGAGGATTGAATATAGAAAGAATGAATACAGAATCCTATGCCGCTTATGGATTACGGAGCGAAATCTGCTTTTCGAATTTGCCCCCAATCTCTGCCTGGATCACAGGAAAAAGATTCATGGGCCGGTTTTCGCGGTTTTGCGAGGGCATTACCGCGCAGACAAGAGCTTGAAGGTGTTGTTTTGTACGTGTTTTTTGGCCCAGGAGCGTAAAAATGGGCCTTATCTCCCACACAGGCACGCGAACACGGGTCTGGGTGCACCAACAATGGCGTTAGCATGCACAAAAGAGAGTTCCTGTTATGGTTCTTCGTGTCGTGCCGTAAAAAACATGCGTGGTGTTTTAGTGGCGCGAGTACTCTTTGGGTGTTTTTTGTGCAGAAAATGCTCTTAATAGGACAGAAGGACACTGTTACGCTAAAAGCAGTACCAGAAAAGTATTGACTAATGGAGTAACTGTCAAGGATGGTCAGATATTAGGTTGGCTAATAAGTAATGGCGGTTTTTTTTTCAATTGAAAAATTTGTTCCAAAAGTGAAAAGTTTTGCAAGCAAGCTTAATATCGTTTAATAGCAAATTTCTCGTAGTATTAGAATATCAAATTCATATTCAGTTAATTCAACTATTAGCATGAAATTTCTAAATAGAGGCAGTTGTCGAAGGTGCTAATTTTCGGCCGAGGCGACTTCATCCAACTTCAACGACTGAAAAATCCACAAAAACTATATCCTCAACCAAAGCTTTTTGATATTCTTATACTAAGAGAAGTTTGCTATTAAACGATATTAAGCTTGCTTGCAAACCAGTTCACTTTTGGAACAAATTTTTCAGTTGAAAAAAACGGCCATTACTTATTAGCCAACCTAATAGTTACAGCTGCATCAGTCTCACCTTTCCCGTGAATTTCTCAAGAAAACTCCAGCAACCTTCCCACTTTTCTCTATAAGCAACTCTAATCATCCTAACGTTGGAAATTGCAGTAACGTGTGGCGAGATAAGGGCGGTGGCTGTAGCGCTACGGGTGGTAGCGCGACGCAGTTAGCGCGACACTTGTTAGGCGCGACGCCTGTAGGCGCGACGCAGTAGGCGACGCCTGTAGCGACGCGACGCTGTAGCGCGACGCTGTAGCGCGACGCTGTAGCGCGACGCTGTAGCGCGACGCTGTAGCGCGACGCAGTAGCGCGACGCTGTAGCGCGACGCTGTAGCGCGACGCTGTAGCGCGACGCTGTAGCGCGACGCAGTAGCGCGACGCTGTAGCGCGACGCTGTAGCGCTACAAGTGTGAACGCTGCCTATGTGGGGACCAATTTCCCCATGACTGGCAGGGATTTCGTTTGGGGTTGTCAAGAAGTCGGCCTCGCTCTTAAAGCTCTGGCTTAAGATTGTTCACAGTCTACGACCGTGACCGATCGGAAAAGGTAGGAGAATTAGTAGGTATTGACTGAGAGAACCCGAACGCGCTGATGAAACGCCGACGTTTTTCAGTGTGGTGTTTTCCAATAATTTTTCTTCGTTTCTAACTGGCGCCAAGGCGAAAAGAGCTAGGCGCGTACTGATTGCGCTGACTCCGCTCAGAAGATGTTTGGGCGGATGGTGCGAGGTTTTCGCACGAACGAAAGATCAGTTCTCCAGGGGGGTACGTATCTAACTTATCGCGAAATCATCAGATTTGCCCACTCCGCCGAGCCGGCTGTCGATACCTATCGAAAGGTTTTTGTGGGAGCACCCTATCTTCGATTCAACAAGTCGCACTGTGGACATTGCCTAACTAATCGCCTTGCAGAGAAATTGATCGCCAGCAAGTAATCGTTCCACACGCCCTACGCAGGTTAGCGCGGATGTAGTTCAACAAATCCGAGCCACGCTGAGAGCGGCAGGACGCGTTCGCACCAGGACCCGACTCGATCGGCGTGGCTGCTGCAGCATTCCACCCCACCACTTCCCGCGCAGAGCTGCAGAAAACCATATGTATGTATACACTCCATATCCCGAGATGAGAGGACTTGGTGAGAAACTTTACCTTGAAGGATGCGTTTTTCATGGGACGTTCACGTTGAAAACTGCCACCCTATCTTGTCTTCTTGTACAGAAACAGCACTATTCTGTCATAAGCGCAGCCGTGGTTGCGTCATATGAAGCAGGCAGTCGCGTCTACTCAATCTACGGGGTATGGAGTGTGCACGAGTGCTCGCCCTTCCAAGTGGTACTGTTAAGCTGTCCTCCTGTTTCCACGTTAGAATTTTTTTCATCGTTGTGATTTCACCGTCACTGAAGAACCCACCTTGCTCTTTGGTGAAAGTTCCGTATTCGCCCATTTTGACTATGGTCAGGACCTTGGAGCAGTTCACATGAATTGCTGCTCCAGCTTTGCAGTTCGATTCTCCAGGTGCCGACCATATCGAAAGCGTTCGTGCTCCGAATGACTGCAAACTGATGACGGATAGATACGGCGTCGAAATGATCTTTTGTCACAACCAGTTCCCTCTGCGATTCAATGGTCTGGCACAAAAGTGCAATTGGGGGTGCGTCAAGGCGGCCCAGATTGTCTTCGAAAGGCTGACATACTGCTTTCAGGGACGCTCGGTGATTTGTTCATCAGGCAATAGCTAACAACTCAATAGGATTTTTCCCATTTTTGCCCAACAAAAGTTGGAGTGGTTGTGCGAGTGTCGTCTAGAAACGGTACCTGATATCCTTGCTTGACAGGATTCCTACTTCTGACGAGCATTTCCATACCCAATGCTCTGAGAACAAGTTCCGTTTCATCACACATCGGATTGAATCGACGACCGCGGGCGCCTTCAAAGAATTTTATCCCTTCTGATGGGATCACAAGGAACTGGAACATCTCGCGTACCGGGTATGAGTCCAGCCGTTTTGCTGACCACACTGAATATCAGATCTGCTGCGATTGTACCCTTTCTGATATGATGTATCGGCCGTCTGATATCGGTGACGTCGCTCAGCTTTGTGATCTGCATTTTGGAATGGTTTCTGTGACTGAAGTGATTCCGAAGTTGTTTTGGGACGTCGATAGTTCCGTGGTATGATCGACAGCCGTGGATTCAGGATGGCAGATCCACATTATGGCCACGTGTTCAAACTAACAAGTTTTCCTGGCTACTTGAAGGCAAGTGGCACGATAAATCCGCAAGGCTTATAGTGTAATTACACCTGGCACGGAAGAATATTGTGATCCCTACCAGGGGCTGCGTGGCGCCTTTTCTCGTCGAGGGCGCGATTATAGCACCCAAACAAGATGCAACATGCCGGCCCAGACTCCCACGGCAACTGCTCGCCCACAAATAGCCGTACAGGCTGATCTCCCAACGATCATTCAATACAACTATCTACTGCGGGGGACAAGTTTTCGAATTTCCATGATTAATGCACGGAATCAATCGATTTTTCCCATTGTGCTGTCATGTTGATGGTCTGTCCCCAGAGAAACAGCAGCGATTGTGAGACTCATGAGTGCGAATTCCAGACATTATTATGAAAGTTTCGCTGAAAAACGTGGAATGTGATGAGTTTGCTCTCCTGTGTGTCCCAAACCGGTTGTAGTTGAATGTCTATAGAACAAATTTGCATGCTCACCCTAGGTGTGATGCCACCATGACAGCAGAAGATCGTATCGGCAACGGTTGCTGCCAATGGCAGGTATCCACAGGCTCGTTGAATAACTCCTTCCAAGCATCGAGTCACTCGACGAGAAAAACGGCCCTGAAAAACACATCTCTCTCGGTGTTCTGTACACAATACGACTGGGTTATGAAAGGATTCGGCCGCTTACAGTGAGCACGATGGTTAGGGGAGGACGGTCACTGCAAGAGTCATTGGTGGAAGGGTTGAGCGAGTGTGGATGTAGCAGGCTACCTCCTGCAGCTCTCCCAACAGTGACGTCGGCAGTAACCGCACCAGTTATTGTGCCCATGCCTTTTATTAGTCTAATGTTACAAAACATTGTAAGGATGGCTTGAGAGGGTCTCTTGTAATGCATTAGGATAGAAACCACATCTGCAAGGCTGAGAGGCTCATTTAGCTCCAAGATTTCGATCTCGTCTTCTCCAGAGTCTTAAATGGCTTGAAGCTTTCAGTTCGTACATTGCGCGAACAAGCATTCCTCTTTGACATTTTCAATGTCGCGTTGAGAACTCAAGTAGCCTTTCGGCGCAAGCCCTTCACAAGGGATCGGCATATTGACGGGTGGTCACCAGATGCCCTCCCCTCTCCTTGAAAGACTAACGACGGACATTCAGTTGATTGAAATTTCACTGCTAGAGCAGAGTGCTGGTTGCACCCTGTGTGGGAAGCAGTTTAGCTGTGAGTTTTTCCATGCTGAGACCGAGACCATAAATGGTTGGTACCTGCTCAGGCCCAGGCTGACGAGCTGGCTAGCATGAATACCCACTTAGCGCAAAGGACCGGTGGTAATACATCAGTTTGGCAAACAGAGGCAAACAGGTCCACCTTGACGACTGAAGACATCATCGTATTGTGAAAAATCTTCGCAAGATAGGACACCACCCCAATTTTTCACTCCAGCAGCGCCCCCTTCCACAAGTCCTTGCTTTTGTCAACATTTCCCAAAATTTCGCCGCCAAGGGATATGCGTCGAATTCGGGAGGGCAAAAATCAGCGGTGGAGAAAAGTTCCCGTGGTGAAAAATACAGTACCTTCCAGGTTCTGATTGCCTTTACTCATACTCATAGGAAAGCGTGGCGCATCCTAATCGAATTGCTTAGCGCTATGCTCTAATCTTGAACTGTTTCCCCAAATAGTTGTCTACTGTTCTTACGATGAGTCAGCAGTTCCGAACGGTGGTGTTTGTTTACCAGCTGATACGAGTTCTTGATTGTCAAACGATGTGTTCATAGGTTTCAATTCCCCGTAACGAACCGTCTCGGTGACCTTATTCGACGCTGGTCATGCAATGGATGCACTGAGCTTCTTGTCATGTTCCAGGGGTTCCTAATTCTCTTGGAAATAGGAATTGGTTGGGACAAACGAGGAAAAATCACTCGGTAATCATGACCCTTCGAAGTTTACCAGGCAGTCGACTCCTTTAACACGACTAAAAAATCCGAGTGGATCTTTGACCTATACCGCGGCTCGCGTGTTGATTTCCATATCAAGGCTTCAATAGAATGCGCTAAGTGTGTGT